TATGTTTTACAATAAATACTAAATAAACAGGCCTTTTCAATTCAACCAGCCATAAAGGGAGGTCTGAATGTACAACTCAAGTAATAGTGTAGTATAGTAAGTAATAGTGTAGTATAGTAAGTATAGTATAGTGTAGTATAGTAAGGGCTATAAATGATCAAAGGGACCAGGTAAGCAGATATCTGGAATTTGAGGATGCCTGAACACAATTATGGGCGGTCTGAGGTAATTTGAACTAGAAAGGCTGCATTTTCCCCAGAATGAGGGAAGATATAATTTCATAATTAATATTGAGATGCTTAAACTTAATTACTGTCCCATAAAGTATGCTGTGTTTGTTATTGACTAAGCCCATGGATGTCAGTTTTGCAAATAGCAAATTTCAGCATGCAATAACTCATAGCATCCAAGGTGCACACATCTTTGCCCGATCAAAGAAATGATCTTTGTTTGCCATGAGTTACTTCACTTTGCTGATTTTCATTGCTATTCTCATACCCCTAAGTAAATCAGGCCACTGTTGGCTTGGGCCATTTGCTACTTGTAACAGCAGCAATTATCCCTCACTCAAAGCTTGACGACCCCTGCTGTGAAGTGCTTAACCCCTTCATGCCTGAGGCCTTTTTTAAAATTTGTTTGCACCCATGTTATATTCCACATTTTAGGCCTGAAAATGACTTAAAACCCCCCAAAATTATATATTTTCTGAATGCCAAGACCCTATAAAATAAAATGGTGGTAGTTGCAATTTTCTATGAATCACGGGGGCGGGGGACTTTAAAAAATTTGTTTTTGTTATTATTAGATTTATTTTAATTTAAAAAACTTTTCTTTTTTTTTAATCAACTGTTTCTCTTTTTAATAACAAGAAAAAAAACTTTCTAAATGTTGTAAAATATTAGTTGCCATGGAGATGCTCCCAAAAATGAGGTACAGAACTGTACAGAAATAGAAATTAAATTGAGCACTGCCTTCCTGCTGCCAGGTAGAAGAATGCTAGATGATACCACACAAGCTGATAATACTTTTAGCGTCTTTTAAATGCCAAATGTTTCACATTGATAACGAAAGATCAATAAGTCCAGCAGCTCTTTTAGCCACTCAGTCCACTTTGCTGAATCCAGCCCGTAAGATCCTTGCTTTGAAATAATTAGCAGTATGTAGGTTTACTGCCGTAGCATCTGCTGGTGATTTTTGAGTCCAGCAGGGAACCTAAATCAGTGTGCAGGACATAAAAGTATGGTACATTTCCAAAACTAAAATGTGAGTGGGACTTTGGTCATCTCCTGTACAGATTCTGAACTAAAAGACATCATCTGCTGTAGTGCGGATACTAAATGACTGTTTGAAAGCTGTTAATCACATATGAAGAGTTGCTCAGCAAGTAAAACTTTCATCACACTCTATATCAGTCATTGGTAGTTTTTCACATTATAGGCATAAGCCTTTAAAGTAGGTTTTTTCCCTAAGTGTATGGCATTTATTTTCCTAAAGCACCATGTATCCTTAATACCTGCTGTATTTTATATCACATAAACTGAACTGTGTTAATGGGGTTTTTTTTTTTGCTTCTCAGTATTGCAGATCTCCTCTAACCTTTTTCAGCCACTTCCTGACTATATGCTCATGATCCAAAGCACATGATTGCTGTAGACCAGGGTAAGACAACCCTGAAGAGGTGAACATCTACTTAAACACTGAAGAAATCAAAGATCACCAGGGTGCAGCTCCATTGTTTAAGGAAATAGCAGTTCAGGAGTCAGTAGCAAGTAATGCAGAAGTCAGAGGTCAGTACTAAGTAATTTAGAGTTCATGGTGAGTAGTAAGTGAAGTAGAGTTCAGAGGTCTGTAGTAAGTAAAGCAGAGTTCAGCAGTTAGTAGTAATTAGGGATGCACAGATACTTTTCGAGTACCAGTGCAGATACTTGGCATTTTCATGAGAACTACCAGGGTTGCAGCGGTTGCAGCTGGGACCTGGCTCTGGCGCTCCACCACTGTCCTGAAATCAGTAGTCTGTATTGTTTTAGAAAAACTGTCACATGACAATAAACAAAAATGTATCAGTACTTAGAGGTACTTGGGCAAAACTGGTATCGGTGCATCCCTTTATTTATATTTATAAAAACAAAATCGTACATTAAAACAGAGATGTACAAATCCCAGGAGCTCCGTGTGCTCCTTACAAATGACAGCTGCCTCCTAATTTTTGAATTTTTCTCTAGTCTAGTCTTGGAGCTCAAAAGTATCGGTACATGTACTTGTACCAAGTACTGTACTTGGTATCGGTGCATCCCTAGTAGTAATTAATGCACAGTGTAGGGGTCATGAGTAAGTAATGATGAGTTCAGAGGTCAGTAGTATAAAATGCAGAGTGCAGGGCTCAGGAGTATGTAATGTAGTGTGCAGAGGTCAGGAGTAATTGTGTGAACAAGCCCTAAACTGTCATTAGAAATACAGAGGTTTATTTTTTATTAGTGGTTTACTAACTGTATGTTATCTGCTTAACAGAAGCCATTTTCTTAGTTGTGTTGTCCAAAATATTTCACCTTTAGACTAGGTACATGGTTATCATTGATGAATGAATCTGTCTTGATTAAACCAGGACTCCAGCAATGATCATTTTTGCAAACTTACATTGCTCCAGCTTGGCTTAATGTAAGTATCCATATCTGATATCCAAAGGGCTGCTGGGGAAGCTTAAAATCACTGTAGTAGTCCATGCTACATACAGTGATAGATGCAATGTTCTGGGTGCTCCTGCAGCGGCTTACACTCTGCACACACTGAGCACAATAAGTTGCTTGCTTAGCACCACTACCATTCAGAGAGCGTCGTGTATTCACTGAAAACAATATACAAGGCTGTATCTGAATAGCGGCAGTGCCGAGTGAGTTATCCTGTGTGTCCAATATGCAGAAGGGAATCCGGTGAAGCAGCACCCGGAAGATAATGGCTATCACTATGTAGTAGTGTGGACTACTAAAGTGATTTTCAGCATCCTAGCGGTCTTCTGGTTATTAGATATGGATACTTACATCAAGACAAGCTGAATGGATCAGTGTATGTTTGCAAAAAAGATACTGATGTTCAGATACCAGTGTGGATACTTGGCATTTTTACGAGAGCTACCAGGGTTGCAGCTGGGACCGGGCTCTGGTGCTCCACCACTGTCTTGAAATCATTTGTCTGTATTGTTTTAGAAACACTGTCACATGACAATAAACAAAAATGTATTCTGACTAGTATCAGTACTTGGTCTGGAAAAAATGGTATCAGTGCGTCCCTTATACTTATTTATTACAACCAAATCATACAATAAAACAGGGATGCACAAATCCCAGGAGCTCTGTATGCTACTTAAAAATGACAGCTGCCTCCTAACTTTTGAATTTTTCTCTAGGTTAGTCTTGAAGCTAGAAACATATCTGTACATGTACTTGTACCGAGTACAGTACTTGGTATCTGAACACCCCTAAAAAGAGGTCATTGCTGGAATTCCACTTTGGGCTACAACATGTGGAAATGTTGACATGTTGACATGTTGTCAATAAAGTTTATTGTGAAAGATTAGAATGCAGCTTTGGCATTATTTTATGCTTATGGAAGTCAGCATGGACAAGCCCAGAGTGTGCCAGAACCTGTGTTGGATTGGCTGCATTGTACAGGACTTAGTGCAGAGTAGATATGTTTCCTGGATCAGATCAGAGCGACAGTGTGTAGCAACAATGTGGTCCCCTGTTAATAGTTGCAACAGAGGATTGTGCCCGTCAAGTGTGTCGACAAAGTTGCTTGTAGTCTTCCTCAAGGGAGCATGTGGCAGAGTGACGATGCAGACGCACAATTGAGAGACAGTGGTTACCCTCCTAACTGGAAGTGCCTAAACAAAGACCTTTACACCTCAAGAATAACAGGTGGCTGTCTCAACACACATCAAACAAGCATTATACAGTGTTATTAAGAAACCCATCATCATAATTACTATGCACCCATCCCTAGAGCGTATTCATGTGCACAGGACATAGCTCTGAAGGGGAGGCAGGAGATCAGCACCGCTGACATGCAACAAAGGATGAAAAAGGTGAAAACAAAAATGGCATTGGTTTGATACATGTTGCTTTGGTAGCTTTACAAACTTGCTAGCAGATAAACATTTATGGTAGAAGAGATCTGGTTGTCTCTTCTGACATAAAATCTTTCTTTTCTCCTGCCTGCTAGCAATTATTTGCAGGTTGTATAGACCAGTGGTCCCCAACCCCCGGTCCGCGGACCGGTACCGGTCCGCGGATCAAATGGTACCGGGCCGCACAGTCTCAGTGCGGTCCGGTCCTGCAATATGGGGCAGTGCAGGGTCCCGGTGTTCGAACACCGGGGCCCCGCACTGCCGACGGGCTTCACAGTGAGGGGGCGGGTCCTGTGACTCACCTCCCCTCCCGGACCACGGTAAAATTATTAAACGTTGACCGGTCCGCGGCGATAAAAAGGTTGGGGAGCACTGGTATAGACAACCACACACATGCAGTTCAGTGTAAAGTCCCAACATCTTACGGCTGCCAAGAGTAGCCAACGTAACTGGTGTGCACTTGTGCAGGAGTTGCATCATACTGGCCCAGCCTTTCAAGACGGCTGAAAAATGTGGATCTGGAATAGGACTGAGGGGGGGGGCATCACATCACTGGGGTGCATTTTGCAAGGAAAATGTGCCATACTAAACAAATATTGTGTGCACACTTGCAGATTCAGGCAAAAGCTTGCCCAAAAGTTTAGTTCTGCTTTCAGTTAGTTTTCGTCGACTTTAATGTCATGACAATGATATTAGTTCTGTCATTTTAACAAGAAATCGTGTATACTTGCATTTTGGGGGCATGTGCAAATGAAAAATAACGTGAAAATGTTGCTGCTACAACTTCATTTACCATACACAAAGCACAAAAAAAAACATCCATTTATAAATGAGTGAATAATGAAATTCAGTCCTCAGTGGCTTTTTACTTTTTTTCCAGGCAATGGATCTTGAAATTCCAGTACTGGCAAGGGATATTCCAGGCAACAGCGCAATAGTAAAACATGAAGGCACGGGTTTACTTTTTTCAACCCCCAAGGTAACTACATTTTCGGTATTGACTTGTACTTGGCAGAAATACTGCACCCCCAAATGACACCTGATAACCTGTCTTCTGGGTAGGAAGTTTATTTTTTTTATTGTATTGTCCCTTTTGTGTTGGTGCAGAAATAGGAAGAGATCTTAACATTAATAAAACATATTCTGCTTATCTATTGGTTCATAGGTCTTGCTCAAAGTGCACTAGTTGTAAATGGGTGCTTGTAATAATCTGAAATGACACTGTTTATTATACAAATGCTACCTCTGCTGGTCATGTATAGCCATATCTCCCATCACTTTTGTATTTTATTTCCTCTGGAATGGCTCTTCTATCTCCTTCTGCAGCTTAATGCTGATAACAAAAGCTATTTCTCATGCTGCTGTTGCAGCAGAGGGACGTTACCAGTGTATTTCCACTTTTGTAGCCAGATTGGGATAACACTTACTTTAAATTTGTTACACCGTCTCATTCATATATAATAATTTTAAAATTAAAAATTGCTGCTTACGTATTATTTGCTCTTTCTCTTTAAACTGAAATTTTCCTCTGCAATTCAAGGGGAGCTGGGGAAGTTATGGAGGTTAACGTTACAAGTGAACTGCTTGTATTTGTTTAGGTGCTAAAAATAAATTAAATGTTATCCTCGCCTAAACAGCTAGCGGGCTCCCTGCTTCTCTGGTCTCTGGCTATAAAGATCTAAGGATATTTATTTATTTATTTGGCTGATAGCCCCTTGCCTCAACCTCCAGTATTGAGGGCGGACGGCAAGAGGTTAAAGAATTTTGGCTGATGCCCCCTATGTGAGAGCATATTGCTGGTGAAAGGGCTTTTTTAAGGAGACATTAGGGGCCTAATTATACTCCTAATATCACCTGTGGACCACAGTGAAGCTGATAAACACAGTTCGTGCCTCTGACAGTTAAGATCTCACTCTGCAGGTAGGAGCCAGTCCAGAGTAGCAGCTGCTTGAATAATCATTGCAACAGCCACAATTTGCAATAATAAAAAAAAAATACCGGTAGTCATTTAGTAACTTCAGTAGGCATGGTACCAGCAACCACCTATATTTTGTGTTGATAAACATAAGAATACAATGTTTTCTTTTGGTCCAAAGTAACACTATTAAAGGGTAAATGCAGTTTCATTAAAAATACACCCTCCTGTGCCCTCCTGACCTACACTAATGATATTCCACCTCCACCACCTTTACTTAACATAAAAGGGCATTTGTTTGCACCCTCGTGTCGATGTCTTCTCTGCCACTGCCTGTGCCTGCACAATTAGCCTTTAAAGACTTGTATAGAGCTGTTTTCTCAGAGTGGAGTTGCTCAGTATGGACTTATTGTCAATTGCTTCCAAAAGGACTTGTTTTTAAATGATGGTGTGCAAAAATGTGTTTTTTCGGTATATGATTTTAACCCAATTTCTTTGTAATGTTTAACTACCTCCGGGCCGGGCCGTTGTAAAAAAAACGGCCGGCCGGGAGCTCCGTAGATCTGAGCGGGTGTCTTTAGACGTCCGCTCAGACACGCCCCCTGCACGTGCGAGCGGGAAATGCCCGATATTTAAAAACAGGCAGCGATGCCTGTTAATATACAAGCAATCCCCCGGCTATAGAGCCGGCGAATCGCTTGTATCGCGTAACGATCGGTGTGTCCAAGCGGGACGCCCGGGATCAGCATGGTGCCTGTGTCACAGGGGATCAGAGGGAGATCGGTACACGAGCTCCCTCCGGTCCCCTCTCCTCTACAAGAATGCGGAAGTGTTGTATTTTACATCACTTCCGCATTCTTGTGTCACTCTCCAGCTTCAGAAGCTGGAAAGAAGCTGATGGAGCAGATCTCTGCTTCATCAGCTTCTTTTGGGAGGTCCTAGGTGACATTAGGGGTCTTGGGTTTTATTAGCCCCCGTATGTGATAGCAATAGAGTTTAGTGGGGGAAAAAATTAAAGTTTCCCCCAAAAAAATTTTGTTAAACATAAAAAAGAATAAAAAAAACAAAAATGTTTAAGCCCCCACCCTTTTTTGCAAACATGCGTCGGTGGCGCATACGTGAAAAAAATGATGATTGCGCCCATTACGCCGCACATGTTACATATCGCCGCGAACGTCACAGTGAGAGCAATCATTCTAGGGCCATCAATCACTGATAACACTAAACTGTAGAGCGGCAAGAGCTTTTAAAGCGTCGCCTATGGTCAATTTTGGGTATGGTAGTTTTTTTGCGATTTCGCGGGTGCGCGCAATTTTAAAGCTTGACATGTTTGGTGTCTATTTACCCGACATGACCCCCGTCTTTTATATTTGACCAAACAACTGGGTAATAATAAATGTTTCCTAACATAATGTAAAAAAAAAAAAAAATTTCATAAACTTTTCCTAATTATAGTAAAAAATAAAAACCGCAGTGGTGATTAAATACCATCAAAAGAAAGCTCTATCTGTCCCCAAAAAATGGTATAAAATTCATTTCAGTACAGCTTTGCATGACGGAATAAATGTCAGTCAAAGTACCGCAGCGCTGATTACTGAAAAATGGCCTGGCCGGGAAGGGGGTCTAAACACCTGGTCTTTAAGCAGTTAAAGTGTCATCCATTTTGGCTTGTTGGGCAAATGGACTGGTTGTCTGAAAAATTGCAGAATAAAAAAAATTTGAAATGTTAAAATGAAGGAAACTATAAAATTGCATATTTAACTGTTATTTTTAAGTATGCATTTTCAGGTTCTTATATTCCCATGGAGGCATTTATTCCCTCGCATTGGAAATATATCCTCAGACTTTCTGTTGAGTCTACAAGACAGGAGGTTTCAGGGAAATATCCAAGAGACACAGAAATAAAAAACAAAACTGAGAAGTTGTAATCCTCTTCCACTCTATGTGAATGAAAGAAAGGTTTTGTCTTTAGCTATACTTTAAAGAATAAGTGCACTTTTAGACATACAGGTATTCCTCACTTAACGACCGAGTTACGTTCCTACGACCAGGTCGTTAAACGGATTGGTCGTTAAGTGAGGAACTCTATACAGTACTGTACTGCATAAGTACAGTACTGTATAGCGCTGCCGATGTACAGTACCGAGCGGGACCCGCAGTGAAGATCGGAGGACACCACTTCCGCCGGCGATACGACACGCTGACGCGCAAGGTCGGAGGTCGATCAGCGGTCCGTCGTAAGTGCGACTGGTCGCAAAACAGGTAAGTCGGTAAGCGAGGAACATCTGTACACTTATCCTAAACGATTCCACCAGTGCTCCATTGTTTGTTGACATCCAGCACTGCAAGTCTGCCTTTCCTGGCTGGCCTCATAGAAGTCAATGTGTAGGAGAGATCTGCAGAGGGGTCATTGCAGTGATGGATGTACACTATGGCAGAATTTCTAGATAGGGAGATTCCCATTATAAAATGATACTGGTACAATTTCTGTGTGATTTTTTTTTTTGTGTCCTAATGCTGTGTATTTATGTAACAGATGCTGTGTTAGGCTTCTAACAGGTTTACTTTATGTACTTTATGTAAAAACAACCACACTCATTATTTTCCTTTGGCACAACAGCAGCTTTTCCTCCTAATATTTAGATGCTCTAAATTGTTCTTAAAGGTACACTCCAGTCAAAATTGAGATACATACTGTAGATGGAGCACAGCCAACCTGCTTACTACTTATTTTAACCAGGCTTGGTTATAGTACACCAGTCTGCTAACTACCTTTTGCTGAAGATCATGAAATAGGCATGCTGTTGATGCCAGAACACCTCTTTTTTGGCTTGTACATCCAGAAAGCATTATATATACATTAAGTGGCCAGTTTTTTATGACCACCTGACGTTTGAAGGCAAATTAGCTATAATTTCGCGCTGAAGTTGCTAGAGGGCCAGACCATTATAAATAGGGAAGCAGGTTGTTTACCGCGAAAGTAGAAGTGATTTTTTTTTCTGAAGATATGGGTAAACAACGCGATTTAACAGCCTTTGAACATGGGATGATTTTTGGCGCGAGCCATGGAGCGAGTATCATCAAAACAGCAGAATTCGTTAAATGTTCAAGAGTGACTCATTGTTCAAGTGTTTAAGGACTGGACTATCAGCCGAAAATCTGGGTCTGAATGTGCAAATGTTGGACCCCTTTTTGTCTTCAGAATTGCCTTAATTCCTAGCATACATTCAACAAGGTGCTGGAAACCTTCCTTAGAGAGTTTGGTCCATATTGACATGATAGCAACACTGCCAAGAAAATATTCCCCACACCATTACACCTCCATCTCCTCTGGCATCAACAAGGCATTTTTGCACAGAGAACTGCAGCTCACTGCATATTTATATTTTGAGGACCATTTTCTGTAAACTCTAGAGATGATTGCACATGCAAATCCCAGCAGATTAGCAGTTTCTGAATTACTCAGACCAGCCCATCTAGCACCAAGAACCATGCCACTTCAAAGTTACTTAAATCAAATTTCTTCCCTATTCTGATGCTCGGTTTAAACTTCATTAGATTATCTTGACTATTTCTACATGCCTAAATGCATCGAGTTCCTGCCATGTGATTGGCTAATGAGATACTTGTGTTACCAAGCAGTTGAACAGGTGTACATAATAATGTGGCCAGTGAATGCATATGTATATATACGGTGGCAGAAAAAAAGTATGTGAACCCCTGGGATTTAAGTGGTTTTCTGCAGTAATTTGCTATAAAATGTTATCTGATCCTCATCCAAGTCACAACAATAGACAAACAATTCTAACTTCTCATGTCTTTGAACACACCCATTAAACATTCACAGTGCTGGAGGATAAAGTACAGTGGCTTGCAAAAGTATCCACCCCCTTTGCGTTATTTCCTATTTTTTTGCATTATCACCTGGAATTAAAATAATTTTTATTTGGATTGCATGTAATAGACATACACAAAATAATCCAAAATGATGAAATCAAGAAAATAACTTGTTTTAAATAATTATAAAAAAGAAAATGGAAAAGTGGTGCATGCATATGTAATTA